TCTGGGGCCAGAAGCTCACAGAGGCTCATCACACATGCCCGGCCCCGAAGTGCTGGGAGAGAGCCAGTCCAGCCCCTCCCGCACATATGGGGAAACTGAGTCCCTGAGTGGGCTCAGGACTGGTTCAGGGTTGCTCGTGTGCACAGGGAGGGAGGCTGGAGACTGCCAGCTGACTCCCAGGGGGCCTTCTCCAGGGCAGGGTCCCTGCGTCTCCACACCCCCAGCCTCTCAGGCCACAAAAGTCTAGAAGACTCAGGGCAGAGAAGAGGCCAGTGTACTTACACCTATTATTTACTAGTCTCTCCACCTTACTGGACATGTCTGCTCTCTGCTACAGCAAAACCAGAGCAAAGCACCAGGCCTCTCCGCCCAAACTGGAGAATGGAGAGGGTCTGGGCTGGAGGTGGGGTGAGTAGGGCCCAGCCGACAGCCCAGAAACCTGAGAACCTGGCAGTAGGGGTGGGGAGCAGCTGCACGGTCTGTCTTTAGGTCTGTCTTTATCGTCTTTACCCTATGGTGTTAGCACTGTGAGGAAAGAATGCGTGAACGGCTCTGGTGGGAGGGCGCAGGGGATGGGGCCCAGGCTGGGGGCGCTGAAGGGACCCCGGGATAAAACGGGAAGCAAACAGGCCAGGTCCACACAGACAGTGCGCTGCACCAGGTGGGTGCGGACGGAGCTGCAGACCCTGCTGGGGCAGCAGAGCGATTGCCACCAAAGTCGCGAGGAAGAAGGAATGGATTTCCTACTGAATCATCACCAAGCCAGAGCTCGCCTGGCCCACGCTGAGCGATCCCGCAGACGGGCACCCTCCTCCTTCCCCAGGGAAGGGGAGCTCAGGGACCAGGCTCTGCCAGTCACCTTCATCTCCTCCTCTCCCTCTTGGTGGACTTGCTGAAGTTCTTGGGGGTGAGACTCCTGCCCTCCCAGGACACTGGGGAGGGGGCTTCCGGGTTCTGAAACTGGCGAGAGGCTTCTTAGCTTTCAAATAGATGGGCACAAAAAGATGTAGAGGAAGAAGTTTCAAGTTCTCTAAAGAAAAGCCTCTAAGAAAAGGGAGGAGAAAAAAAAAAGAAAAGGGAGGAGAAAACCTGTTTCCTTTTTTTGCACCAAAAAGTGTTCCCTTTGGCTTAGTTTTAATTTGCATTTGCCTTCACAGGGTCCCTGCCTGCCACTACTCAGGCCCAGCAGACGGGCTCCAGGGCCCTCCTGAACAAAAGTGTTTACTGCGGTCTCTTGAAATTCTGCATTTCTAACGACCACCACCCTCCCCTGCTCCATGAGTCCTGGGCTGCTGCTGGGGACCCCAGGCTTTGGATCTAGGGTCTGCAGGGTGTTGGGGCAGAAGGGCAGTATTCCTCTGTGCACCCCTCCTAATGTGAGCTCCTGGAGGAGGAGGAAGGGGCCGGAGCTGAGGAAAGTTCTCCCAGAGAAGACACAGTCCCCGTGAGGACAAGGGGCTGGAAGACCTCCTCATGTCCAGCCGAGTGGGCTGTGGGCGAAGTGTGGGGAGGGACCAAAAGAACCCGGAGCCCAGGACATCTGCAGACAAGGCCTTGCCTGGCTTAAGGGCTTGTAGGAAAACAGGAAGTCAGGGGGTTCCGATGACCCCCGTTTCACAAGGCTCCCCTTGGGGAGAGCACTGGGACAGGTGGCTACAGACTCAGAGTGGGGTGTGCGTGTCCCACGTCCATGTCCAACTGGGCAGGCTGCGTGGCAGGGGCAGGCAGGATTCAGGCCAGGCCCTCCTCAGACGCATCTGCTTTGTTCCACCAGACTCAGAACATGTTAGTGTGGGCTTTGCTCTCTGCAAACAAAACCCTCTCTCCTTTCTGCCAGAACACGCAGATTTGGCTCTGCCCAAATGAAATGGGCTTCGTTTGGGCTCGGTTCGCAGAGAGCACTGGCGTACCTCCGTGTACTGGGTCAGAACCCTGGTGCCCCAGAGACCACAGGCACATCGCACAGCTGGCTCAGCACCGTCCAGTAGAAAGGGGGCCTGAGCCAGAGATGGGTACCACACACATCATTAAGCCACCTGGGTGGCTCAGTCAGTTGAGCATCTGCCTTCAGCTCAGGTTATGATCTCACAGTTCGTGGTTTCCAGCCCCACATGAGGCTCTGTGCCTGGAGCCTGTTTCAGATTCTGTCTCCCTCTCTCTGTCCCTCCCCTACTTGTGCTCTGTCTCTCTCATAAATAAACAAACAAATAAAACATTTTTAAAAATTTATAAAATTTCCTCATAGCCACATTAAGGAAACATAAAACAAAAGGTGAGATTGATTTTAGTAACATATGTATTCAACCCAATATATCAAAAATATCTCAATAAGTAATGTGCAAATCATTGTGAGTGAGATATTTTATGTCCTTTTTTGTACTAAATCTTCAGGACATTATCACATCTCAAGTCACACCCCATGTCAACAGGCACTGATGGCTGTGGCAGTACCCGCGTCGCCGCGTCTTTTCTCTGTTCTCCGCGTCTCTGGCTTTCGTGTCTCTCTCTCTCTCTCTCTCTCTCACACACACACACACACACACACACACACACACACACACACACACACTCTGCTGTCAGGTTACCCCGGGCTGGTTTGTGCAGGCCATTTCGGGGCATAAAGGACAGACCCTTACCCGACAACTATCCTGGGTGGGAGCAGGACTGTGGCTCACATACGGATAGAAAACGAGCACCGGTCAGAGGTGTTGTGCTGGTTCCTCTGCGTGGGAGTCACTAGCATGTGACAGCCAGTTCGGAGGAAGAACTGAGGAGCAGATGCACATACACCTGACCTGGAACATTGCAGGGTGAGGGGTACCCCCCCCCAGCCAAAAATGCATGTGTGACTTTTGATGCCTCTAAAACTTAACTACTGACAGCCTGCTGTTGACTGGAAGTCTTCCTGATAACGTGAACTGTCACGTAGCACATGTTTTATCTACTATACGCCATGTTCTTGCAGTACAGTGAGCCTGAGAACATAAAATTCAGAAAATCATAAAGAAGTGGGTATATAGTACGGTCTTGCGTTTGTCAGGAAAACTCTGTGTAAGTTGACCTATGCAATTCGAGCCCACATTGTTCAGGGTTGAGGGTGCAATTCAGGGATGCTGGCAGGAACTTGCTATTTTATTTTTTATTAAGCTATAAAATTAAAAAAAAATTTTTTAAATGTTTTATTTATTTCTAGGAGAGAGAGAGAGAGACAGCATGAGCAGGGGAGGGTCAGAGAGAGAGGGAGTCACAGACTCTGAAATAGGCTCCAGGTTCTGAGCTGGCAGTCAGCACAGAGCCCGACGCGGGGCTCGAACCCACGAACTGCGAGATCATGACCCAAGCGAAAGTCAGACGCTTAACTGACTAAGCCACCCAGGTGCCCCTTAAGCTTTAAAAAAATGTTTTATTTATGTATTTTAGGAGGGGAGGGTGGCACAGAGAGAGAGAGAGAGAGAGAGAGAGAGAGAGAATCCCAAGCAGGCTCCACACTGTCAGCACAGAGCCCAACTTGGGGGTTGAAAGCACGAAACCATGAGATCATGACTTGAACTGAAATCAAGAGTCGGACGCTTAACCGACTGAGCCCCCCAGGCACCGCCAGAACTTGCTATTGTAATAGTTTCAATGCTGGCTTCTTCCACAGAGGAGGAGGGGGATCGATTGTCCTTCCGCTGGGTCATGCGCTTCACTGTGTCTAGGGACCAGAACCCTTGGCCTTGCTCTGGGTCATCTACACCTTACAGAAGACGGGGCGGGGGGGGGGGCGGCGCAGGAGCCCTGCTGACCAGCTGGAGGGGATGTTGAACGCACCTTTTTGAAGATGCTGATGATTTTTTGGTCCCTTGCGTCTTTCACAACTTTTCTCTGCAGAAGCTTGAATTGTAAAATTACCCCTTAATTTTTGAAGTCAGTTTGCTGAACAAGCAGGACTTGTTCGAGCATCATAACACCTGCTGGGCTGTGTGCCCGCCATCCCTGCAGGCTCACTCTGCCTGGGGACTCTGCCGTTCCATTCCGCCACTCCTGTGATCACTAATCAGCCATGGAAAGTGCTATGCTGACTTTAAATCTCAGGTCTCAATGTCATATGTAAAGTGCCAACTCCCAAATAAAAATAAAAACTGAACACCTCTCCAGGGGAAAATGGCTTTCCTTCTCCGGCTTGTTGCCTGCAGGGAGTGTGGTCAGCTCTTCCAGCACTGTGGCCGGGGGTGGCTGGGGGCTGCGGCCGGGCTGGGGGATGCGGGGCCTGGCTTGCCAGAGGTGGGGTTCAGGGGAAGCCCTTACTTGGCTCTTCCTGTCCAGACCTGGACTTTGTGCGACAGGCTGTCTCTCTCTCCCTCCCTCCTCATTCCTCTCCTCCCCAGGTCCTCTGCTGCCTTCCAGTTCCCAGATGGAGGCGTGTTCCCCCCCATAGCCCCTGCTTTCTACACATGAGATGGGGACAAGACACTAACAATCCCTTCCAGAGGAAAGCTCTCCCTCTCTCCGGCCACCTGACCCTTCCCCCCAGGGAGACGTGAAGCCTGTTCTAGGCCTTGCTTCCTGTCATCGCACCTTGTCTGTGTTTCCGAAATGAAGTTAGCCTGTGTTTCCAGATAGATTCCTCAGTGCCTTGCACACAGAGCCTAGCACACATGCACATACACACATGCCCAGCACACACGTGCACACACATACCCGGCACGCAGAGACAGGGGCCGCCCACCAGTGGGGCCCTCCCAGAACATGGCTGAGTAGCCTCAGGTTGCCGAGTGCAGGGCCTGCCGTGTGGCTGGTTCAGTTCTGAGAAGCCGTGACAGGCCCACGGGTTCCTCCCCTAGAGGTGTGACCTTTGTGTCCCCTCTGTGAACTGGGCAGATGACGGCTCACAGTTGCAGAGCTGTGTGGGGCCTGGTTCATCTCACAGCCCTCCCCCACCACTCTCCACCCCCTCTGTCACCAAGAGGCCACCATGGCAGGTCTGACTAAAAACAACATTTATTGTGGTGACCCCAGGGGCTGCTCCCGTCACTCCTCTTTCTCATCCCCGTGGGTGATGATGTAGCACAGAGACTTGTAGTCAATGTCCCCCGCCAAGTCCATGGGCGTCAGGGCGAACATCTGCTCCACCTGGGTTGGGGGGAGCGGGCACTGGTGAGAGACAGCCCAGGCAGCAAGGCCCAGGGGGAGGGGCCGACCCTTCACCCCACTCCCCATTCCCAGGGCTGCACTTTGGCCCTAAGCCTTTCTGACTCTGAGCCCCAGACTCTGAGTTAATGCTCAGTTACCTGACTGTGGCCAGACTAGGGGCATGGGGGTGGCAGGTGAAGGCCTGAGGGGGCCGTGGGGATGCCTCCCCTGTCTTCTCTGCTGCCCAGCCCTGCAGGGACAGAGGCTTTTCCGGATGCTGGTGCCGCTGTCTCATGCCTGGGCTTTTGCATGCATGGCTCCCCCGGTCCGGCACACCCTCCTCCCGTCTGACTCCATGCGCATCACCCTCGGCTGAGACAGTCCCTCCTCCACGGAGCCCTGCTCTAGGCCCACAGGGGTGGAGGGGCAGCAAGGCCTCCCCAGCGCCCTGTGGGTTGAGGACCCTGTGAAGGGGTGGGCAGGAGAGTGGTGTCCAAGGATCCAGGAATCCTCACCTCAGCCAGAGAGAACTTGTCTGCCTGGGTCAGGAGAAGCTGCTTGAACCTGGTGGGGGAGAGCCAAGGGGGGCCTGATGAGGGGGGCGAAGGCCCCCATGACCCAGTTGGCCACCCCCAAAGCAGAGAGGGCCCCACAGTAAAGGCATTCACCTCATCGCTCACACTTACTCATCCTTGTTCACCACGCCCTTGCCACTGGGGTCAAACATGCGGAAGGCGCTCAGGATGGCTTCCTCGGGGTCTGTCCCTGGGAGCCCGAGGGAGCAGGTGAGCACCGACGCCCCCAGCCTTCCTGGCCCCACCCAGGAGGAACCCGGGTGCAGGGGGGCTGTCACGTCCCAGAAGAGGTGGGAGTGTGCTCCCTGACACAGAGCATCCCTTGGGGCTCAGGGATGCTAAAGGGGCTTTGTGGACAGGCCTGGCAGGAGACTGGGATGTGGGATGTGGGAATGGGGGTGAAGGCACATTTCCCAATTTCAGGTTGGGAGTGGGGTGAGCAGTGCCCATGGGTGTGGAGTGCAGGGGAGGACTCCACATTCTCTGGGTGGGCAAGGACTGGGTGGGGTCCAACCGAGGTCTGGGCGGGGTTCAGGAAGATTCCAGGCGGGCTCACCATTGAGCTTCTCCCCAAAGAGCGTGAGGAAGACAGTGAAGTTGATGGGACCCTTCCCCTCCTGAAGCATGGCGTCCAGCTCTTCTTCCGGGACGCTCACCTTCCCTGGGGGATGCCAGCCACAGAGGTGGAGAGTCAGTGGGTGGAGGGGGGTGCCCTGGAAGGAAGCTGGGCTGAATGGGTGGGGGAGGGGAGGTGAGAACAGTGCAGAGTGAGGGGCCTGTTCTTTCTCAGTGGGCGGTGGGCTCCCACAGGCCCAGCTGGGGCAGAAGGTGGAGGCGCTCACCGAGCTGGGAGTAGGTCTCCCGAAGGTCAGACTTGCAGATGATGCCGTCACGGTTCTGGTCAATGCAGCTGAAGGCCTGTCAGGTGGGGTGGGGGGCAGAGTGTCCAGGCGGGAACAGCCCCTACCCCAGGGAGACCTGGAGGGAGGGGTAGCAAGGACAGGGGCCAGGACGGGTCCCAGGCCGCTGGGGAGATGGCACTCACCTCCTTGAACTCCTGGATCTGGGCTTGCTCAAACATGGAAAAGACGTTGGAAGACCCCCGATGGGCCTGCTTGGTGGCCGCGGCCTTGCCCCGAGTCCCCGCCTTCCTGCTGGCCTGCAACACGCGGGTGGGGAGAGGCCCCCCTTCCCATGTGCTCCCTCAGAGCGCTCCTAGGAGAACCCGGGCCAGGGCCCTCTTCCTGTCCTCAGACACCACCTCTCTAGGCCCAATGCCAGCACCTTGACCCTCCCACCTCCCACCAGCCCAAGGACAGCACCTGGGAGTGTGGGAGTGTGCTAGCCTCTGGCAACCCCACCTGACACTCACCATCCTCTCTCTGTGACAGCCTGGTTGCTGCAAGGGGTTCACAGCCCCTTTTATGTCTCAGCCTTATCACCTGAAGCACCATATAAGGACAGGAGGAGAGGACAGGCCCAAACTTGGTAGCCCTGCCTGGACCGGGGGAGGACAGGGCCCCAGCCAGATTCCAGCCACGTTCCTGATGACCTTCAGGCCCCCTATGTGTAACATCCAGGCATCCACCCATCAGCAGCGATGTCTCTCAAGGGCAGAGCTTATAGGCTCCTGGCCATCACCACTCTGGATGTTGAATGAGGTGTCTCCCTTCCCCCCACCATGAGAAGGCTCTGCTGTTATCTCTCCTGCAGGTCCAGCCCAGACCTGCCAGGCTAGGAGGACAGCTTTGGGATCGCTGGCCTGGGCATCTACTGGGCTTGGGGAGAGCAGTGCGTAGTTCTGAGGATGGTCTCTGGATGGAGCCCAGGGATTCCCAGAGGTTTGGGTGGAGATGGCAGGCCCTGGCTTCTGGCTCCCTGACGAAGGGGTAGAAGGCAGCCCTGAGCTGGCCGTGGCCCCAAACAGCACATACGTGGGATGCTTTTGGAGCATGGTGCTATACCTGGACCCCAAGTCCCCTGGACCCCCATGAGAGTGGTCATGAGCCCTTTGTGTGAGGCCCCACTGTGGAGCCGGGGGCCCTGTCACCCTCTGCTCTGCCAGAGCACAGCCTCACTGGCTGCTTCCGGGCCCAGGGAGAGAAGGGCTGGGGGCTGGGGCCCACCTAGAACATAAGTTGGGGGCATACTGGCTGCCTGCCACCTCTCCCCCAGAACCTGGCTCTGCCCCTGGGGTGACAGATGCAGAGAGGCCAGCTGGTTTCGCAGGGACCCGTGTCAGTCTGCCAGACCCAACGCCCCTCGCATGGTACAATAACTATTTTATAATTCCTCCTGGACTCTCCTGTAATTAAAGTCATAAAATATATAACCTACCTGCAAAGAGAACTTTAAAAATCAATAGGATCCCCCTGAACTGTAACGTAAAGAACAAGTAGGAGGTCATTTACATCAACACGGGATCTCACACGGGAATGCAGGGAGAGGAGCAAGTGGTAGTGATGACGAGGTGACTGGATGATGTTCCCACAAAGTCTAACGAATGACTTGGATTCAAGAGGACAGAAAGGATCTCGGGCATCAGGAGGGCTCGGTCAGTTAAGTGTCTGACTCTTGACTTCGGCTCCTGTCATGATCCTATAGTTCCTCAGATCAAGCCCCACATCAGGCTCTGTGCTGACAGTGTGGAGTCTGCTTGGGAATCTCTCTGCCCCCCCACTCATGTGCGTGCTTGCTCTCTCTCTCTCTCTCTCAAAATAAAGTTAAAAAATTTTTTTTAAATAAAAGAGAACTCAAAGGATCTGACACAGTCCCACACGAGACATCTGGGAACACAAAGGAACAGCTGGACAGGGATGTGACAGCTCAAAACCACAAGTGAGGGTTGCATTCTGAGTGACATAATACAGGCTTTCCAGATTTGCTCTCACTGAAAAGTGAGCATATGTTATGATCATGTAAATGTGTTTGTAGGTAACTGGGCAAAGGTGAGAGACGGCGGTGTTAGGCCCTGGGCTTGGCTGACTCAAGGTAGGCACGTCACCCAGGAGCATCTGGAGGGACCTCAGCAGTCCCCTCCTCCCATCACTGTCACAACCCAAGTGGCTCCAATGGGACTCCTGCAGAGACCACCCTGAAGCAGGAGCAGCCCTGCCCATCTCTAGGAGCAGCCCCTCCCAGCCTCTCCTTGGGGATCTCAGACACCACAAAGCTGCTCAGTGAGCACAGACTGTGGGTCCACAGCCACGTCCCCACAGGCAGCCAACTGGGGGCCAGGGCAATGCAGTACTCCCGCCCCACCCCTCATTTCTATCCCTTCAGCCTGCGGTGTCACTGCACACTCTCCACCATGGCTGGGGGACGGGGGCAAATTCTAAGACACATGTAGGCTTCCAGGGTGTCTGTGTGCATGTGACCAGGTCTCCCTATCGTCCCACAGCCCATACGCACAGACATCAGAGAACACTGGTCAAAACCATGTTCTAAACTTTTACAACTTTTATTTAAAAAACCATGCGGTCCCAGGTTGGACATGAAAGATTGGTGTGGCACATGAAGGTCTGGTGGGAAGAGGGAGGCTTGGGGTCCCCTGGGTGCTGAATGCTGCCTGAGGTTCCTTTCCAGGCCAGCCCCGTGGGAGCTGAGGACTCCATCACGGAGGTGCTCCCAGCCCTGCCTGTGGGTGGGAGTGTGGGGGGCTTCTCTTCACCCTGGGTCCCTCTGGGGAGGAGCTGTGGGGGCTCTGTGTCTTGCACCCCCTGGGAGGGTGCATCCCAGAACCACAAACCACTTGTGGATGGTGGCAGGACAGCAAAAAGGCCACCACCTCCAGGCCTCGGGAACAAGCAGCCTCCACTGTGGAGCTGGTCCTCTCCCACTTCCCAACCCCCACCAGGCAGGAAAACAGCCAGGCCTGGGTGGCTGGCAGCCTAGGACCCTGTGGGAACCGGGTCTAGGTCCGTCCAGGTAAGCAAGGCTGCATTCCCGGTGGGCTGAGTCCCCAGGCCACCGCAGGGTCCAGAGCAGGGCCCAGAGCAGGGCCCGCGTGAGACTGACTTGGCTGAGGCTCCAAGAGGCAGGCAGTGCAGAAACACAGCAAAGTCCTGAGTGAGCAGCTTCCCTCTGGGTGGGTCCTTGATTCCAGCAGCACAGGTGGGGGACCTTGGGGGTCTCCATTCCTGCTCATCTCAGCCCCCAACCCAGTCAGGGCCTTGGGCTATCCCACCCACTGCCTCTGAGAGAAGCGGCCTGCCCCAAGTACTACCATCCCCTTCCTCTCTGAGGGCCTTTCTGCATCTTCCCGGGTGGCCTCAGGATGGGAGGCGTCCAGGGTCCTTACAACTAAAGACCCCTTCACTGGGCCAGGCTGGGGGCACCTGTGGGGAGCGAGTGCCCACGAGCCCAGATCCAGCGAGCGCTGCCTCCTCCTTGCCTCGTGGCCTCGCCATCACTGGCCCAGCATGCAGGCCTTCTTACAGGCCACTGCGGACACCAGGGCCGCGCCTCGGCCGCTGCCCTCCTCTGACTCGATGAAGGTGATCTCGCAGCTGGGTGTCAGCTTGCGCACGATGGCATGGAACCTCTCCTTGAAGCTGAGCAGGGGAAACAGGGCTGCGGCCCCTGTCTTTGCACTCCCGGACCCCCTCACCCCAGACCTCTCCAGAGCAGCTCAGCTCCTGCTTGCACGTAAACAGGGTGGGGGTAAGCCTAGGGGATCCTCCCTCCTTGTCTGGGGGATTAGGGGATAGCCCTTGGGTTCTCGGAGAGCTCATTTCCACTTGCGTTGAGTCCTCGGGACGCGCACCCACGAGGGACTAGGGACCCAACGGGGAGGACAGACGTCCGCGAGGGCTCACCTGGGGTGCAGCTTGTACACCGAGCCATCCACGCCCACGGTAATGCGCATCACGTCCTCGCTGCGGCTCTCGCGCATGCGGTTGATGACGCCTGCCAGCCCCGCGGCGCACATGTGTGCCGCCCGCGTGGACACGCTCTCGCAGGCGCGGCGCACGATGTCGCAGTCGGTGGCCGTGGGCCTCAGCCCCAGCGTGCTTAGGATGTTGTAGATCTGCTTGCGGTCGCCAGAGTCGCTGCAGGGCGGGGGTGACCGGGAGGGGGGGCGGGAGGGAGGGCGTCGCTGGAGGGTCGCTCGGTCCTGGGCAGGCCCAGGCCCGACCCCGACCCCTACGGCGGCAGCCTCTACCCCTCCCCCTGCCCACCTCACCCAGGCAAAGCGCTTGGGTTCGGGCCTCGGAAGGAAGCGCGTCGGATTCTGCCAGGAACCAGAAGTAAGCTAGTCACTGAGCCTCTCTCTAAGCCCAGGGTCTCCGCTCTAACGTGGGCAACACTGGCGCACCTCGGGACTGTTGCGTGGATCAAGTGAGACGCTGTTCACGGCTGTGCGGAGCCACGGGAGGGCCGCGCGGGCCGCCTCAGCTGCCCAGGGGTGGGTTACACTGCTGGCGGTCGACCCAGGACCTCTTCCCTTGTGCCCTGCCCAGGCCCGCTCGCACCTGGAACCCCGCCCCAGCCTCCTACGCACTGCCCCCTTGACGCCGCCTGGAGACCCTCGCGCCCCGCGCACCTCTCCACCTGCGACACGAAGCGCGTCTCGAAGGCGCCGCGCGTGCGCAGCTGCTCCGAGGCCTCCCCGCGGAAGAGCAGGTTCTCGTCCACGAGCTTCAGCAGCACGAGCCGCACCAGCTCGCCCATGTACTTGCCACCGATGAGCTTCTCGTACCTGCACGAGGGCGGCCGGTCATCTCTTGAAGCGGGGGGCGGGGAGCAGTGCTCGGCCACCCCAGGGAGGTCCCCAAGCGCGGCCACGAGGAAGGCCAGGAAGGGCACTTGACACTTTGCATGCAAACCCGGATTCATACCTGTTCCCTCATTTATCAACCTGTGTTTGGGGCCTCGGCACCCTGTCCCTCAGTCCAGCCCCTCTGAGACCCCGGCATCATCCCACTGCCGTGTGATGGTTGCTGCGCTCACTGCCCAATGCGGCTGAGGTTGCGGAAACTCGGGCGCGGAGGGACTAGCGACCCGCCTAGGGCCTCCGCCACCGCTCGCGCCCCTGGGCTTGCGCCCCTGGTGTGCACCAAGCTGGCGCGTTCGTGCGTCGCATTTGGCAGCCTGTGTATTTTCACCGAGTGCGACTGACCGAGCAGAGGTTATGAGGGCCAGAGACAAAGCTCAGGAAGAAATTAGCACGTGCCCGGCAGGCAGGCAGTTAATTGGGAGAGCCATGACTCAGACAAGCTCTGTGCAGGCCATACCGCAGCCTTCTGGGAAACACTACCGTACATTCTGTGAACGCGGACAGAAGTTTACTCTGGGGAACTCTGGGCTGAACCCATTGCTTGGGGTTCTCAGAGGCACCCTCTGTCAGTGGTCACCTGCGGGAGGGGGGAGATCCCGGCTCATTTTATCCGCAGACGCTCTTTCTGAGGACTAGACCTTCACAC